AATTTAACTGTTCCACATAAATATTTTAAATATCTTAAATCGTAAACAATAATAACAATCTATAAACCCTTCAGTTTTAAAGCAGCGACAAAGAAGGTGTCACAAGTTAGACACATCTATTGTTGTTTGTTTGGTTTGGCTCATTTTAACTCTCCTGTCATTTCAGATCCCACCTTCCTCCAGGCCCTTGTAATCAGCTCACTTCCCTCACCTGGTCTTCCCAGCCCTTCCCCTCACCTGTTACTCATTCCCTCATCACTCCACAGTATTTATACCACCTCACTATCACTTGTCCTTTGCCAGATTGTCTTCTCGTTTCCGCCAAGCTCTCCAGTGTGTGTTACTCTCTAGCCTAGATTTTTGTCCTGCCCGGTTTTTGACCCCTGCCTGCCTGTTTACGGATCTCGAGTTCCTGCCTGCTCCCTGTCTGGTTTTGGTTGCCTGTCTGATGGATTTCCTGGTTTTGACCCTGCCTGTCCCAGACCTGAATAAACTGAGCAATTCTAAAAACTGGTTATATCTGAGTCGTGCTATTGGGTTCTGATCTGTACCTGTGATCGTGACAGAAGGTTCATTTTGTAGTGATTTAGGTGCCCCCTGTGGACAGAAGCGGTAGTGTTTTCACCCATGAGCACCTCCCTCGCGTGATTTTTAATCTGGCAAGCCGATGCATTTTCTTTTTTTACAATGATATCAAATAACGTCTTGCAATGTATTTCATGAACAAACAACAATTTGAATCATGCTTGCGCTGTACAACTGTCCCTATACTTCTTTTATGAATCGTTGGTCAATTCTTCCCTTCTTGTCGTTCCTCATTCGGTCTCTTCATCAGCCAAAATTGCATCATATATTGTACAAAAATCACTAAAAATCTCACCTAACTTTCTTACAACTCACTGCCAAAGGTGACATGTTTCGAGAAGGGTTTCCAGGAAGGTTTTTGAACACTCAACTCTGTCATCTTTGCTTGTTTTGGTCGATCCTCTTGTAGAGCAGTCAGTGGCGGCCCCCACCCCCCCCCCCTCTTCCCACATTAAAAATAAAAATATATATATATTAAAAATATTTTTTATTTTTTTATTTTTAATAAACAAGGTAAATATTATATAATTGGTATCAGTAAAATGTATAATCTACTATAAAATATCGTTTAAAATTGTGTTACGATGTTTAAAGTTACTGATAAGTCACATGTTTCCTGCCTGGCCTTGTCCGTGTATCATTACCCTCTCTCATCTGGGCGCTATGCACCAGTAGCGTGGCGTGGGAAAATGTTTAGCGGAAGCCAATAATACGTCCTTTCTTTTGGGTCGGGGGTGTGGTGGTCAATGTAATAACGTAACCAGATGAGTGATTACAGCACCCGGTATCATTTTACACACATTTGTATCATACAGATGCAGGACTTACACACGCCTGTTATCTAACTGACAGGTCCGCACGCACTCTCCAGCTGAAACTTTAATAAGCATTCATTCACAAACTAAATCAGGAGACCATTAACGTTTTACGTCCGATTCGCTCCTTTTTTCCTCGCTGTACACAGCTCCAGTTTGGACAGTGGCCTGTCATCAGATTTTATTTGTTGTTGCTGCTGTAGCGGAAGTTTAGTACAATTATTTTTGATTAAATACTCCAAATCTCTACCCTCCATAATTGCACTTGCTTCAGTTGCTTGCTACTTTCTAACGGTGGTGAGAGTGGTGCAGTGGCACTATCTATCTTCTATCGATTAGATTTATGATTAGAAAATTATAAAAGTAGGGTGGACATGTGGATATTATCCAGCTGAACAAAACGTGCATTTATCTAACAGGTTCGTTTTCTACTGACCTTATTTCGAGCTATCTTCCAAAATCCTATGGAGAAATCCCATTGCTTTTTTGTCGAGGGAAACCGAGCGCAGCTTACTTCCGGGTTTTAGGACGCGTCACTGCAACACTAAATTGATGCGATTTGATTTGATTGTGAGGCAAGGGAAGCCAGCTGCCTCTGGCTTCCCTTGGCATGGCCCTGACCAATCACAGGTCGGCAGGGGCATGACGTGAGCCTCATCTGATTGGTCAATCCCTCCATTTTTTTTCACCAAGGGAAGCCAGATTCGGCTGGCCTCCTCTCGCAACAGAGAGTGCAATCTACTGTTTCACCATAACATCTAGAGGGCCGCTGTTTCACTCTTTGTAAAATACTCAATGAGAATGGGGGAGAGCAGTTGCCGGCAGCAACACACAACAAAGAATTTCCGAAACTAAACGAAGTGTTTTTATTTATTTATTAAAATTATAACTACAATCCGAAAAAACAGGGGAAGCCTGGCTTCCTTTGGCCTCCAGGAGAAAACGCCACTGCTATGCACAGCGCCCAGACGAGAGTGCAGCAAGTGCAGCAGAAGCCAACTGTTACTATCTTTAAACTATGCCGCCGAAACATAATTTCAGCCAATCAGCGTCGTCAAATCTGATGGTCACAGGGCGCCTACGTCAGCGCCAGGTGCAGTCTGTGAGTTGTTTGGACTCGTGTCCAAGGAAACAGGAAGCTGTCATACACTCTGGAAGCTATCATTAGCAGCTAATATGAAAACTCCGTTTTTGACATAAAAATTGAATTATGGATTATCAATAATTTGTTCAAAGTGACAGACACATTGGATTAACCTATGGATTAACCTTCAGCCGCGTTTTTCTCGTTTTCAATCAGAATAACAGCATAACTCCGTGTTTTGCTATACCTAAAGCTGTCCTGTGATGTCTGTATTTGCTTCCCCTGTCGCGAGTTCTGATCGCTCAGTGATGATACTTATATTTCTAGAATCTGTGGAATCTCAGCTTGTTAGCTAAGCTTGTTTGTGCATATCCGATAAGTATATCGATTGATTTATACCTAGAGTGCGTTAGCATTTTTTCACTCAGGGCTCATTTAGACGCTTCTTGTGAGACTTGTGTTTTGTTTCGGTAAACATGGTTCATATCATCAGTTAGCTGAGTTTCTTCCCGTTAAATGAGTAGGACACATGAATATGAACATGAATGAAAAGATTCATAGCTAACCACACTGAAGATTATGGAGGTATTGATCATTTTTAAGCCTCAATTTGTCCTCCCCCCCCCTCTAACATCCCCAGAAGTCATAATTTAAGGGGTCTTTTCTCAATTTTTTTTACCGGGAGAGCATCACCCTGGACCCCCTTAGTATTGTTTGGTCACCATTTCCACAGCCCCACCTAAAATATTTTTCCACCAGCCGCCACTGAGCGCATCCTTCACCAATTAAAACACAAGAACCAGGAAACAGATCCTGCTCTGGGTTGATAGTTGGGGAGGTCCTTCTGGATGTCCTCCAGCTCCATAATCTTCCGTTTAGAAAGGCCTTTCCATCGCAGCAGGGCGGGCAGGATGTCCATGAAATCGCTGTGAATTAAAATCGCATTTAGCATCAAATATATATATTTTTTAAATACCAAAGTACTCATGGATGGCCCATTTCAGAACAAATTAAAAAGCCACATTATTGGACAGCATTAAGAAAGATAGGTGTAACAACATTTGAAAGATGTACCTCCACGTGTGATATTCGTCATGCATCCAAGCCACTGTGAGCTTCACAGCATCGAAGCTTTCACACTCGTCCAGTTCTCTGACACTGAGCAGCATGAGGTGCCACTGTTCCACACCAGGAGCCTAAAACAAAACATCACAGGTCAGGCTCTACGCGGTAACCAGAGCAGATGTGATCCTGCTGCTGGTGAATGAACTTCATTATGACAGAAAAGAGCACTTACCATCATTGAAAAGGTTTCCTGGAGCATTTCAGCATCTTGATTGAAAGTTCGGCCGACATCAGGACTCCAGCACCTCAACAGTTTGTTCTTACTTCTCTGGATAAAATGCTTGAGGTAAAGGTAGGTGACGAGCTTGTAGGCCTCGTGCACCACTCTCTGAGAAACACAAAGAAGAACAAAAGCATTAAGATACACATATGAGGAAACAAAAGCCTGCATAACTTCATGTTTTTTATGATTCATTCACAGATCAACGACAATAGGTTTTACACATTTTCCTCAGCAAATATCTCTATTTCTAGAAATCCAAAGTGAAGACTTATGCCAAAGTCTTAATTGGTATTATATAAAGGGTTGTGCATTACACACAAGTACTTTAACTAAATGCAGAAAAGAGAAATGGGAAAGAATTAGCTAAATATTGATATTTCACATAAATTAGGCAGAAATTATGAATAACTGTTCATAGAAATAAATCTTCTTTAATTAAAAACAAACACTCTTGAGGAAATAGGAAGCTTTTGTCATTGTCAATGCAAATTCAACAATAAAGATTTGAATGGGGGGATTCAAGACGTACCATTTGGACGCCCTGGAAGCCCTGCAGCTCTGAGAAAAGATGCTTCAAGTCCAGGATCAAGAGGTGAAACTCCTTGTTCTCCGATTTGAAGTATTTCTTTAGGTACCTCTGTGATTTAACAAAAATATAAACATTAGTTCGATATATGCATAAATCATAATCCACTTTTAAACATGTAAGAAAACATTATATTAGTGATTAAGTTGAATAGCTACCTCTGTCATGTCAGCTGTGATTTCCTTCAGGACTTTCAAAGTAAAAGTCTCCATGTTGTCAAGTACAGCCAGGGTTTCTTTGAGAAGGGATGTTTTGATCTCCTTTGTCTGGATGTACTGCCTGAGAGGAAAAATCAGGGGGGAAAAAAGTGAACTTCCTGGAGATAGTGACATCACTCGCGCTTCTATTGGATAGCACTTCACAACACATTGTACGTGACATCTCTAAGCGGTTGACCAATCACAGAAAAGCTGACCAGCTAACCAATCAGAGCAGACTGGGCTCTGGTTTCAGACGGAGGGTGAAAAGAGGTGCTGCAGCACAGGCAGTATGAGAGAAATAAAGAGCTTTTTGAATATTAAAGCATGGAGACATGTCACAAAATTATGAAACCTAAAAATTAGCCGAAAAGGTCCCCTCTTACTTGATCTTTTTGCAGTTCTTCAAAATCTTGAGGACATCTTTGATTTCTGGTTTGTCCACTTTTGCTTTTTTTTCAAGAATCTCAGTCTGCTCATTGGTGTACCTACAAAGCAAATAAAAAGCCATTGTGGTTATTCATGCTTTAGGTACTGGTGTTAATATGTGTAAATAAATCAGTAAATTATTCTCACTGTGTCAGAAAATTCAGCAGCTCTTGGAAACAGACATCCTGCACGCGGCCAGACAGTTTTTGGCTGATTTGTCTCCCCGCCTCGATCATGGCATCAATGCACTGAAATAGAAACAACAACAACAACAACATTTTTCAAGATACATTGGAAATCAAATTAAAAAGTAAATAATGCAATTCACTATATAATTATCACATTTTATAGTTACAACTAGATAGATGTTTCAAATAATGTACTGAAAAAGACAGTATATAGGAAGATATACTTTATTAATAGACACATGCACACTAGTCCTTTCTATAACTCTCATAGTAACCATAGACTTTGTACCTGGATAGTGTCCACATACAGGTCATCTTTGACAGTTTCTTTGTCTCTCTCATTCTGCAGGATTTTCTCCAGGTACACTTTGACCTCGTTCTGTGCAACAATAGGATGACAGAATACACATCAGAAGTGTTCAGCAGTGTGGTTGTAGTGACACTGAGTAACAGAGAAATGAATGCATAATTCATACATTTGCTGTCATGATCCTGGTTTTGTTTAAGGTTTTATTTTGAAATGTATTTTCTCCTGTCTTGTCTTGCTTTACTTCCTGTCTATGTATGATTGTCAGATTCTATTCACCTGCTACCCCTTGTGTTTTTGCATGCCCCCTCCCCCCAGCTGTGTGTTGTCTCAGTGATTAGTATGGGTATATAAGCATATTCCCCTGTGATCTCTGGTGGTTTGCTCTCTTTGTTCCCGTCTTCCTTCTTTCAGTCCTGCCTGATTTCCCTGTGTTATCCTTGTTCCTCGTGCCTCTCTGGTATCTACTCGTTCAGTTTTCTTTGTTGTTATAGTTTTGTTTGACCTTGCCTAGGCCCCCTGTTTGTTTTTGTTATCAGCTCCCTTTATTCAAAAGCTCACTTTTTGTTTATACCTGCCTCAGTCTTTTTAACTGCATTTGGCTGCAAACTATAGCCAAACATGGACATTTACATAATTCAGTATTCTTACCTCCACATTTTCAAGTAGTTTGTCCTTTGCTTGTCCCACCAACTCGGTGAACAGCAGGAGGTCGACCTTTTTAATGGGATCCACTTCTTGAAGTTCAGGATGACAGAGCATCTCCGGGCTGGGAAAGTAAAACAATGACAGAATCAGAACTGAGCACACAAATATTTAATTTCATTATCAATTAATCTATGATTCAGAAAATATTTTTAGGGTACTTAAGAAAAGAAATACGAGAACAATTCTTAAAATCTGTGTCACTATGACCTTGCATTTCATTAAGGGTAATTAAGGGTTCCTTATGCGATGCATTTGGATCAAAACAGACATTAATCATGGCATGTGGTCAATGTCATGATCACGTGGATCAGTGTCTATGGGTTTAAGCATCAAATGTACTTGGTTAGGTTAAAAAGTAAAGGCCCGGTACGCATTCAAGTTGAGGTATTCATAATGTTTCAGGGTCTTGATAGGATAGGTTTAAAAGAGCCAGGGAAGTGAAGTTATATTCTGAAAATGTTCTGAGACTGGAAAGGGTAATTAACAAGAAAAAAATCATAAATGTGCCAGATAAAATATTCTGTGATTTAAGTCAAGCATTTCGGAAAGATTGTTTTTTAATCAAGGGTCTCTTCAATTTGCAAGGATGGGTCCATCTCATTGCCACAAAACAAATAGATATCCAAAGGCTTAAAATGTAGAGAAAGATACCTCAGATACGTATGTAGGACCCATTTCATCAACCCAAAGGAGTTCTTCGAGGATCGGACGTTCTGCAGCAGATCATCGAGGCGAGTAAATGTCTCACGATGGTAGCAATCAATCAGACTTCCCATCAGCCCCATACGTGTCAGAGGGGAACCCAGCCTCACAAACTCGGTAATAACCATCTTCTGCACGTTCTCCAGGTACTGATGGAGGTTCTGGTCCACATCTGGAGGAAGCTTTGGGAAGTGTTGGTCCACAGATCTTTGTACGAGGCAGAGATGCTGCTGCTCTGCATTGAGCTGACGGTGTGTTGAGCAACAAAATCCATCCTCAAGTGGCACCTGAAGAAGTCCAGCGAGTTTCTCAGGTGTGATCTGTTCCTCACTCTGCAGGCGTTGTTCTTTGTGGATGTCCAAGGTATTCTGAACCAAAGCGTTTTCATACTTGGTACATGGTGCCTGTTTAAATCCTGTGAAAAAAGATTGAAATGAAGGTCAAAACACTGTAAATGAGAGTTTTTTAAAAACAGTTTCAGAGGAGGCTTGGTGAAAAGAAGTGAGGAAATATTACATTTGTTTAAATATCACAAAAAAGGCTTTATTGTGAGATTTGGTTGATGAAATAGTTCAGTGATGCAGTTGTGGGAGAGAAACTCCCTCTGGAGGGAACACAGGGATTTTAGCCTTTGCAGACCATTTACATGCACAAAAACCTATAACAAACTCCAGGAAAGGGAAACCCCCAAAAGTTATAATAGGGCCCCTTTATTGTTTATTGTAAAGTTTAATGTATATTTTCTGTTATAAATATACTGCAGACACTGCCCTTAAATGTAAATGGTAAATCTTTCTCTGATTGTCATCAGGTAAACAATTCACCTCAAGTTATTTTGTTTATAATACCTGCAAAATAGTCTGAGATAGCTACTCAGCATTTTTTAGCAATTACTAATAAAACACCTCCTCCTTTCCCTCACTCGCGTCCCTTCCTTGCGTCTTAGCTCCACCTCCATAAGATGCAAGCGATAGACACGAGGAGGAGACGAGAGGACAGAGGAGTCCTCAGGTATTAATTGGGATGTCCTCGTTCACTCAAACGTCACTTTTAAACTACGTCTGTTAATGATGACATGTGCACAGCTGTATCCCCTCTCATTGGGCTTAACCAGTCTATGGGCTTAACTGAATAACCCTTTAGAACCGTCCCATTTGTTGTTAAATATGTATTTAAATGAATAAATCTTTCTCTTGTTAGTGAAGGAATTCAATGTATGATGGTTGGTCCTGCTTTTGTGTTCCGTTTTGGTGTAAAATATAGCCTACATTTAAATACAAATATAATTATAATAATGTGAAAGCCTTTACTCTGAAAATGTGTGTCCTATGTGTCCACATTCACCACAAACCCACATTCAGGACTGTGAATTTTAAATAATTTAACTCCTGAATATCTTAACACAAAACAATAACAATAATTGTTATTTTTTCAAGATCTAGCCATTCATGAAATAGCTTTCTTAATAGCTATGTTTTAGTGACGTTCAAGATCATTAAACATGACTTAAATTGTTAGTATAACCTTAAGAAATGAATTGCACATAATTCCCACGGAGCTGTGAGCACTTATAAATGTATGTGACGCTTTTCCACTCATTCTTCCAGTTCTCCGTTTTCCTGTGTTGAAATCGACCAGCTGTGAAGGTGGGGGCGGGGCTTTTATACACGAGTAGTGAAAACACTTAAAGGCTTTCACATTATTATGATTATATTTTTATTTAAATGTAGGCTTCATTTTACAACAAAACGGAACACAAAAGCAGGACCAACCATCATACATTGAATTCCTTGACTAACAAGAGAAAGATTCATTCATTTAAATACATATTTAACAACAAATGGGCCGGTTCTAAAGGGTTATTCAGTTAAGCTCGATGAGAGCATGGATGTATAATAAGAACTGGATACAGCGTGGGAGGCGGGGCCTCATTCATTCCTATGAGAGCTGCTCATTAGCGCATGATGATAAAATGGCCCAACTTTTGAGAGAGTGAAACGTCACAGATTACCCAGCATGCCTGAGAAGTACCCGTATGTGCACTCATAGAGCATGCGCAATTTTAACCAAAATGCTCGTTCACATCAAGCACGTCAATTTGCGTACACGTAATAGCACCGTCCGTGCGTTCATGACAGCATGGTAATGGATTGTTGTTATCATGGATTTGATATGAACGAGGCGGCAGTTAGCAGCTAGCGGCTAGCTAGTAATGATGCTAATGTACACATCAATCGTTATGTACTTATATTACGCTGTAACAGGATCTAGTGATATCCAACAGAGCTTCATTTAGCATGAAATTATTATTGCACTGTATATATATATATTTATATACAGTGCAATAAGCTTCTTAGTGCAATACGAAGCTACAGGGACGTTAATAATGTCGGTAATATTAACTTTATTTAATACAACATTTACGGTACAAGATTTAATCATACAGCCCATGTATGATAATGAATTACAGCAAACATGTGCAATATATCCATTATTACAGCTCCGTGGGATGGCAGTAAGACGATATGGATCCGTTCTTATTGTGCATCCATGGGTAAAGATAAACGCAACTCACATTGGTTTCTCAAACAGCATCTCTGTAAACTACGTGTATTCACTGAATTTCACTCTCTGCCTTTAACGGCTCGTTGTAGCTCCAATAGCTCCAGCCCCACCCTCCCTGGGAGCAGCACAGTGTGCTCTGATTGGTCGGGACACGTAACATGAACGTGCCGGGCGGCGCGGTCCCGTGGGTTAGATGCGCGTTCATAATGCAGAGGGAAATAACTCAGAATAACGTTATTAGCTAATTTTTACAACTTGAGGAACGAATGTTTTTAATAAGGGCTATACAAGTGTTCATACTGGGTAGTTTATTTAGTTTAAAAAAAATTATCCAACGAGTTACAGACCACTCTTTCCCCATGTAAGTCAATAGGAAAAAGTGTTTCCGGGCCTGGTAACCAAACGGAAGTGTAGTACCGCCGTTTGGCCAGCACGAATATTTTCATCTGAGTCCGGCGCACTTCCTGGGGGCTTGGATGAGAGGGGATACAGCTGTGCACATGTCATCATTAACAGACGTCGTTTTAAAGTGACGTTTGAGTGAACGAGGACATCCCAATGAATACCTGAGGACTCCTCTGCGTCTCCTCCTCGTGTCTCTCGCTCGCATTTTCTGGAGGCGGAGCTAAGACGCAAGGAAGGGACTCGAGTGAGGGAAAGGAGGAGGTGAAAGATTAAATTGAGACGAGCCTCAAAATCTCGATCTCTCTCCCCGCAGAGGACCTGTTCTGGGAGAACAGCCACGTCGCTTATACTTTTGCCTTGCCTTTTTATTAGGTTTTGGTTACGTTGAGTTATTGTTAAATAAATATATTTTCCTATATATTCTTGTCCTTTCCACGCTTTTTGTTATGGCCAAGAGCCAGGCCATGACACAAGCGTAACTAACGTCACATATTTGTCTAGGTTTACAGGGGAATTCCAGCTAGCCTGATATTAACACCAGTGGCAGCAGCAGTTTGATAAACTCTGATTTAAACCCTGATATTACAGTCTTCCATGAAACTGCTCCAACACTTTGATTTGCCTCCACTTATACACTGCTGTTAACCGTTTTTACTGTTTGTATATCTTTTTTTTTTTTTTTTAAATCTAAACACACTTAAATATAGATTTATTTGTTTATTTACTTAATTACTGTAGGGAAAAAGGCAATTTGAGTTACTGTATAATGAATGTTTCCATTTTGTGCTACTTTATACTTAAGTGCATTTTGACATTTTTTTATCGCTTTAGTTACTTTAAACATTCAGATTTTGATCATGATGTATGTTAAATTAAGTTACCCAGCTGTTTTAAAGGAAAAAGAGCTCCACCTTTAAGTGAAGACCCCTATTTATATGCCAATAAGTACTTGTACTTTTAACACTTTAAGTATTTGTTGCTTGTACTTGTACTTAAGATTAAGCATGCAACACTTTTCATAACTCAGTTTTCAGTTGTCACACATAAGAAAATATTACTTAAAATAATACTAAATCAACATGGCCTTTTTTTAAGCTGTAGCAAAACAAATATACTACCAAGACAGACAATAGTAGAAGATGTCATTGATAGTCTACATATAAAAGAAGATCACTTGTGCAAACTCATGATCCAAAAAGAGTCTTACCATGTTGTATGACGTTGTTATTCTCTATTAAAGGCTGTGTGCTTTCTCTCCTGAAAGCTTTTTTCTTCACAACGAATGCCTTGAATTTATTCATCTCCAGTTTCAATATACGTTTACACAGGTTGTGCCTCCGTGCTGTGACATTGAAGTGAATCACATTCCTCCTCAGGTGTGTGTGAAAGTTCATTCCAAGCAACATTTTATCTATAACTTTTTGCCCTCTGCTTCACATCCGGTAAACACATCAGACTTAATCAAACACAAGAGTGACTGATAACTTGTTCATTTCTTACGTAATGCATATTTCTTTGCCTCGTGCTTCCTTATAACTGCGTTGTTATTCTGCAATATGGAAGCAACACATGACAAGAGTTCAAAAGTGCCTCCTGTTAAGGTTAATTTATAAGAAAATCTCTGAAAAATGCAGATGGTGTATGTGTGTGTGTGTGTTTTTCGTGTCATACAGAACGATTTTAAAAGCAATGTATTTCTATTGGTAGTATGTTTCGTTCCTGCAACACGTCTTTTTCTCCGGTCGGGTCTTGGAAGACCGGAAGCTGTGTGGTTCATAAAAACATGTTCTTGCTCAATATCAAGCCACGATTATTGTTTTTATTTTAAATCGTATAATGTCGGACTTTTTTTGCCGTATGTAAGGAAAAGAAATGGGGCTCAGAGCCTCGGAATACTGAAATCTGTATTTTTTAATCTTTTTGTCCTTCTAATTTGTTATTCTTTTCTAAATAACATACTGTTATTTACTCAACAATAGCACACAATTATCGATGTTTTTATTTATTTGTTTGATTCCATAATCTCTGGCTTTTTGGCGTCCGTCAGGAACTCAATTTCAAAATAAAAATAACCGGAAACAGACGTAGGCCTATATGGGACATTTCGAGCATCATTGCGATACACAGCCACTGAACTGATTACCCAAGATCCTCAGCTATGGTTTAAGCTCGGTGATTGGATGTTTTAGCCGCAATGCATGTTGGGATATGGTGTTTATGTGATATGAAATCCGAAAAACATTTCGGAGTTTAGGATGGCCGAAGACACTACACTACGCATAATCCCCAGCTATCGTTTGGGACTACAGTCCCCGTGATTAATCTTCAAGCTCTGGGATTGGATGTTGGAGTGGCAGTGCGCCAAGGTTACGCCGAGCGTCAAATAGCTCTTTGAAATGGAACGAAACCACGGCAGACTATCCAAAACTGGATTCGAACGGGACCAGCAGATTCTGATTAATGATGTGAAATGTGCATTTTTCATGCATTTTCAGCACATTCTTGCGAACTCCTCCTAGGGGAATGATCGGAAAAATTCCAATGCAGGACAGGTTCAGCCCCTGGCCAATGTCATGAAGTATTGCGGATTACATTTGTGATAAATCAATCGTGGAGGTCGTAAGCTAACAGCGAATACACAATTTTTGACGATTTACATGTCGCAAATTACTCCAAACTACTCGGATATAGTTATTCCGATATTCACGAAACACTGTATACACATTGCTCTTATGATTGCGGACATATTTCAAATTGGCTTTTATTAGCCCCGCCCCCGACAAAGTCGGCCATTTTGAAAAATGTGCGTTTTTCATGCATTTTAAGGACATTTCTGCAAACTCCTCACATGGGAATGATCGGGAAAATTCCAATCCAGGACAACTTCAGCGCATATTCAATGTCATACTACATTGAGAAGGAATAGTCCTTCGCTCAAACGGGGAGCTCGCAGGCTAACGGAGAACACACACACACAAACACACACACACACACAAACAGACACACAAACACACAAACACACACACACACAAACACACACACACACCTACTGTTAGTCCAACAACGCCCTTTGCTGGCGGCATATTCATTACAACAGACACCTATACACTCCCTAACCCTAACCCTACTGTTTATTTGTAGATATCTCCTAAAGCCTACAAATAAAGTGTGAAATGTAGGCCTGTTACATTTATTATTGAGCGATATATATTATACACACTGTTCTGCTTTCTGCACTGACCTCAGCAGCTGTTCTCACTGTAAACATCGCGTCACAATGAAAGCAGTTGTATTGAAAAAAAAATAGCCTAACATCCAGGGGACAGGTGATTAGTGAGTAAACAAACGGTAAAGGGCAGAAAGTCTGATGCACATTTGATCATCTCAAATAACTTATGATCACAACGGGAACAGTTTGCAGAGCTGTGCTTCGTTGACAGAAGTCCAGCCATGCGTCACACCTCTTTTAAACATCACTGTTGGCTGAAATCGTCTCAGGAGAATACTTCAGTGTACCCTCGGTTATAGCTCCTCTAGAGACACTCCTCTCTCCTCTCTCCTCTAAATCAGTGTATCCTCGGTTACGGCTCCTCCAGACAGCCTCCTCGATAATCGATCCTCGACGAGCCTTTAGAGAAATTTGTTTTCCTTCGAGACGGCGCGCCGACATCCGTTTCCGGGTCGCTGCCGGAGGACCTGGGAGTCTGGGACGCGAAAATTATAGAAATGAGAAACGGTTCATTTCCCAGGACTCGCGCGTCTGCTTGACGTCGGGACGACCGGCTGCCCTCACTGCGCGCACAAGTGCGACCGCAGTTTTAATGTATGGATAACATCTGAAGATGTGTAGTTTTATTCATGTTTTCACATAATTTTACAGCATATTGCTATATTATTTCACATGTTTTACTTCTACACATTAATATCTGATTTGTAAAACAGATAGAAAGGTATATCCGTCATTTAATGGTAAGCTATTGAAATTCTGATTCCATAGATGTGTCTCCCATCACCCAAAACCCCTGACTATTCTTTCAACTCATATTTACATTCTTATATTCAAAGAATTTGATTGGAATTGGAATTGGATCAAATATAAAAGTCAGCCGAATTAGTATTGATACTGCAAGGAGACGTATTGTGTGAAGAGAAATTGAAGATGTTGTTTAATTGCTGATATATTTATGATCCACGTCACATATTCAGTTTCCGTGGCAGTTCTTCCAGTTTGTATACTGTAGAGGTCTTCTAATCAGGGCTCTATAAATAAAGAACTAAGGCAGATGTGTAATATTTAATGCAGCCGAAACGTGTATTACAATGCCGTTATGTGATGACTTTCAAAGAGAAAAGCAAGCACACTCGGAATAAAGTATTGTTTTCTTTTTTTTTAAATGTTTTTCAGATTTCATATTGCATAAACACCATATCCCAACGTGCATTGCAGCTAAACAATCTAATCACCGAGCTTAGCTGAGGATCTTGGGTAATCAGTTCAGTGGCTGTGTATCGCAATGATGCTCGAAATGTCCCATATAGGCCTACGTCTGTTTCCGGTTATTTTTATTTTGAAATTGAGTTCCTGACGGACGCCAAAAAAGCCAGAGATTATGGAATCAAACAAATAAATAAAAACATCGATAATTGTGTGCTATTGTTGAGTAAATAACAGTATGTTATTTAGAAAAGAATAACAAATTAGAAGGACAAAAAGATTAAAAAATACAGATTTCAGTATTCCGAGGCTCTGAGCCCCATTTCTTTTCCTGACGGACGCCAAAAAAGCCCGAGATTATGGAATCAAACAAATAAATAAAAACATCGATAATTGTGTGTTTAATCTTTTTTAATCTTTTTTTCCTTCTAATTTGTTATTCTTTTCTAAATAACACACTGTTATTTACTCAACAATAACAAATTAGAAGGACAAAAAGATTAAAAAAATACAGATTTCAGTATTCCGAGGCTCTGAGCCCCATTTCTTTTCCTCACATACGGCAAAAAAAGTCAGACATTATACGATTTAAAATAAAAACAATAATCGTGGCTTGATATTGAGTAAGAACATGTTTTTATGAACCCCACAGCTTCCGGTCTTCCAAGACCCGACCGGAGAAAAATACGTGTTGCAGGCACGAAACATACTACCAATAGAAATACATTGCTTTTAAAATCGTTCTGTGTGACACGAAAAAAAGGTGAAAATCGTGTTGGTGAACACGAATCAATAGATTAAATGTCGTGACTATAACACGAAATGCCGTGAGACTGGGTTGGTGTCACACACACACACACAAACTTGAGAGTTATCTGTCAAACACACTTTAGTCACACTGCAAATAGGAAACATGGTTGGTCCTTCTGTGTTTAATCTTGTATATGAAATGATCCAAACACAATAAATGGTACTCAGTCATCAAGAAGCATCACACAATATGAAACTGGAAATGTAACAGTTCCACATTTGGGTGTGCCTAAATACAATTTCCCCCAAATTCCCCCTTGAGAGAAAGCCGTTAAAGAATAATTATCTGGGATTATATCCACTATCTCCCTCTCTCTCACACACACACACACACACACACACACACACACACACACACACACACACACACACACACACACACACACACACACACACATAGAGCAAATCCATTATCCAAGATCAGGAGAGCTGGTTATTCCCTAGAAACCCAACAAACGGTGTATATATTGTGAAATATTGCCCGACTATCGACTTCACGTCAGGCAGAGATATTGCATCCATAACACACTACAGGAAAGGAGACACTAAAAAGCATTAGGGCCTCTTTAAAACATATAACATCGATTCAATTGAAACAAACTCTAACTTTATAAATGATATCTTTAATGTATTAGTATTGACTGTAAACGTAGTCCCAACCTCACCCTTTGACAGTAATGAACATGACAACAACAGTTACACTTTATTTAAAGTGAACATTTACTTTGTTTAAAGTTAAATGCATTTCAAGAAACCACTTACCTTATTTAAACGATTTCGAAGTCATATATTAATTTTAAATAACAGACTCTTTACACTCATAGAACCAATTGACTGAATAAGATTGGTTGACCAAACAGAAATATTTCTTCATATTGAAATGTTTCATAACTTCTCTGTGATGTTGAGGAACAAATGTCTTCAGCTTACTTGATTTGCATATATGTTTGAAAATGATGCATGCAGAAAACCTGAAAATGAAAGCATGCCAACTCTGAATAAAAGTACGTGTTGAGTATTGCATGCAGGACATTTTACTGCAAAAGCTGGAGCTTTATTTGAAAGACACACCCACTCTGGACGTTAAGGTTTTTAGTGAGAACAGACACCATCTTTGCTTTATTTATTTGGACTTCAGCGTGGACGGATGTATTTCTTTACCTGGCTGTTGCTGCCAGTGCTGCTTATTCAGAGGACACTTCACTCTGTTTTCCGACATGAGAAAACAAGTATCATTTGCAGAAAGTCAGAGGAACCACAGGCTGCAACAGGATGAGGCTTTACAAAGGTACAATTTATGATTTCATCCTATTGTATGCCAAAAAATGCAATTTTTTCTTTAACCCCTTGTGTTGTCTTAATGTCACGGAGAATGTCTTTCTGTTGCAGGAGTTTTGGGATGGATGCATCAAAAATGGGTACGTTTTTCCTACAAAACGTTGGTTTAAAGAGTCAGACAATCAATCAAGTCAAAAAATGACAAGCAGAAATAATAGAAAACCTATATAATGTCTCAGCTTTATATTTCGTTTTTTCTATTCTACTTAGTTGACTCTACATGGCTCAGATTTCAGATGTGCATATATATATATATATCCCCATTAAATAAACAAAACATGTCTAGCATCCTGTCTGCTTTGAAACCTGAGAGTCATGTTTTCTATCTGGGACACAGCGAGATCTGTGGAAAAAAGAGAGGAAATCCTACACTTGAACTCGACCTAATTCACACCTGATCAGTAACAGGAGGAAAGCTCACTCGCATTGTTTTACTTACTAGAAACTTAACCCACATACAAGTCATTGGTGTTGGTTCATGTGTGGAAACTCAACCATGACATTATGACATTTATAGCTAACTAGTAACCGATATCTTTTATTTACATTTCTGCTGCATGGTACCAGCATTGAAAGATCCCAATGTGAACCTCAACAATGGTTTGAAAATCAACAGACCAGCGATTGCAAGATGTGATTCACAACACCAACATGTGATGACCATACAAATCGCCAAATCATTATCTGCCGGCCCACATCTGAAGGTAAAACGAACAATCACTGAGATCTAATCGAATCTTCTCCACTACATTTTTCTGACAGCTTTACTTTTAAGATTACACATTTTCTTCCCCTATCTGTAAGTATCTCCTGATTATGCAAATGTTCAGGTTCATATGTCTAAGTCAACCTGATCTCACCAGAATGCGTGACTCCACCACGACTCCTTAACACCGCATTGCGTGGTGGAGTCACGCATTCTGTTACATTTACGTGTCGGCACCACGCAAAAAACCCCAATGTAAAGTGAATGAGGCTCTTTTGTCGTGGTGCACACACGCATTTCTACAACGTCCCGCAGTGAGCTTTTATTCTATAAAACGTTTTTAAAATCTACTATATAGCTTGTAGTAACTCACGGGAGGCTTCTTTTGTTTTATTTGTATTCATAATAATTTTGATTTGTCGTCAGAATGTATTATGGTGCATTAGTTACGAATTTTTGTTCTCAAAAAACAGTGCATTGTGTGTAATACAACTGTGATTTTTATTAAATTAGTTCGTTTTTAAGGAAGGCCAGAGCTTCAGCTGTGTCAATAGATTGTTCCCTTTAGTTAACGTTATTTAAAAGATAATGATCATGTACCCTTTATTGTATTACGAGCGTCCATTCCCATTGGATAACGGAGAATTTTACACCCGGAAGTGAGTATTCTCCTTACTGTCGATTGATTTTTACAGTGATATCTGCACTACTCATCGACTCAAAAACACCAAATTATCCTTGTTAATTACACAACATTGATTGGTTTAAATTGTGTACAATGCTTTTGTATTTTTCCCCTTCGATTCGGAGAAACTAATATTTGTTCGGAGTTTTTGGATGGCAGAAGACACTACACTACCCAGAATCCTCAGCTATCGTTTGGGACTACACCATGTGCTTAGCTTGACAAACCCCGTGATCAGTCCCCAAGCTCTGTGATTGGATGTTGGAGTGGCAGTGCGCGAAGTTTACACGGAGCGTCAAAAAGCACCTTGAAATGGAATGAAACCCATCGACGGCACACTATTCAAAACAGGAATCGAACGTGTCCTATCCCCCCCCCCCCCCCCCCTTAGGTCGCAGGCTCCTCCAACAGTGCAACACAATAAAACAGATACACAGAAAAAATAGTGAAATAGTGCAATAAGAGTCTATATACAAGTGATTGGAATCTTTTTTTAATTTTATTTAACCTTTATTTAACCAGATAAAAGCATTGAGATACAATCTCATTTTCAATGCTGACCTGGCCAAGAAGGCAGCAACGTTACACATAACACACACATATAAAAGAGAACATAACTAAGAAAACAAAAGACAAAAAAGCAGTCACATTGTGAATATGATATATTAGATAAATAATTTATATGTAGCAGCCAGATGAATGTTATGGATGTTGTTTCAAATATCAGGTGTTTAATAGTCTTATGGCCTGTGGGATGAAGCTGTCCCTGAGTCTGGTGGTTTTAGTCCGGATGCTGCGGTACCGCCTGCCAGACGGCAGCAAACAGAACAGTTTGTGGCTGGGGTGATGGGGGTCTTTTATAATCCTGAGGGCTTTCTTTAAGGTTAACGTGGTGTTTTTACTCCACTACATTTATTTTAGTTACTTTACAGATTTGGATTAATGATGTGAAATATAAACAACCCTTAAATCAGACTTTAGTTGCACCTGAGTAAAATTCAGTGAAGGTGATTGTCAAGTGCCAACAATCAGGAGAGATATTTGATAGTTGGTGCTTGAGAAGACTAAACATTTATCTGCAGATCCGTATAAAGCATATTCATTACTCGTTATTCTCTAATCGTTCATTAAAGACTATATATAATTGATATTTTGCACATCCCTTTCAAGATTTTCTATGGTTTATTGACATATCATATACACAACTACGGTGTAGTTATGCAATGAATGCAAAACTTGGGTCACAGGTTCCTCAACAGTGCATTACAAGACATCTATCAATATGTGTGTACCTCCACCATTAAACTGTCATATTCTGCACATTTATTATTCTATCTAACATCTTATAAGAATATAATAAATATGTATAATATCGGTTAAAATAAGTGCTTCAACATAGTTAACATTGCAGGAAAGTTGATTGTCAAGTTCCAAAACAAACCATGCAATATATTAGACATTAAGTACTTTGTCAGGCTTAATATGTATCTGTAGATAGATACCCCCAAAGCTTTTTTCTTATTTAAAAGAAGACCTTAGCCTAAAGTATTCTTTAATGTTTAAATAAAGCCTTATTAGTTTGTTTGTTTTGCACATCCTCCTATCAGGCACTAAACTATTTTATTGTAGATATTATTTACAGTATCTTCTTGATATTTTCTATTCTATATTTATATCATTGACCTTCTACTTTCCCACTATTTTGTATGTACTCTTAATATTTAAATGTTTTCATCAAATATAACACATTCAAAAGTGCTTTACAAAAATGAAAGACATTAAGAAAAAGGCATTTTAAACAGTCATTAAAAAGCAACATAATCTACCTGCATTGCAATTACTCCAAACGTGTAATAACGTGCTTTAACCAGTAGGTGGTTTGGGTTAAAAAGCTGTCAAGTTTACAGTGTTAACAAAATAAAATATACTGCTGTTTCCGGTTTAGTTTACGACGGATATATTTTGTTATTGTTTTGATATTTGTAACACAAAAGCGATGGAAAAACCCCACAGCAACACAGAAAATATGGTTTTAACAGTCTGACCCAGCAGTCTAGTAGTTAATAAAAAACAATAATATCAAAACAGATGATTACTACTAACTTTATTGTGAAATTAAAACAGAACGGTAAAAGAATAGTTTCCGGTCTATTCTGATGCCCGATCTCTGTAGATAAATAAAGAACTACGATAGATGTGTAATATATTTAATGCAGCCAAACCATTTATTACAATGCATTCATGTGATGACTTTCAAAGAGTAAAGCAAGCACTGCTGAATAAAGTATGATTTTATCTTTTACGAAACGTTTTTTTTTCATATGGAATGCAGTTGGAGGTCAACCAATCACAGAGCTTGAGGACTGATCACGGGGTTTGTCAAGCTAAGCACATGGTGTAGTCCCAAACGATAGCTGAGGATTCTGGGTAGTGTAGTGTCTTCTGCCATCCAAAAACTCCGAACAAATATTAGTTTCTCCGAATCGAAGGGGAAAAATACAAAAGCATTGTACACAATTTAAACCAATCAATGTTGTGTAATTAACAAGGATAATCTGGTGTTTTTGAGTTGATGAGTAGTGCAGATATCACTGTAAAATCAATCGACAGTAAGGAGAATACTTACTTCCGGGTGTAAAATTCTCCGTTATCCAATGGGAATGGACGCTCGTAATACAATAAAGGGGACATGATCATTATCTTTTAAATAACGTTAACTAAAGGGAACAATCTATTGACACAGCTGAAACTCTGGCCTTCCTTAAAAACGAACTAATTTAATAAAAATCACAGTTGTATTACACACAATGCACTGTTTTTTGAGAACAAAAATTCGTAACTAATGCACCATAATACATTCTGACGAAAAATAAAAATTATTATGAATACAAATAAAATAAAAGAAGCCTCCTGTGAGTTACTACAAGCTATAAAGTAGATTTTAAAAACGTTTTATAGAATAAAAGCTCACTGCAGGACGTTGTAGAAATGCGTGTGTGCACCACGACAAAAGAGCCTCATTCACTTTACATTGGGGTTTTTTGCGTGGTGCCGACACGTAAATGTAGCAGAATGCGTGACTCCACCACGCAATGCGGTGTTAAGGAGTCGTGGTGGAGTCACGCATTCTGGTGAGATCAGGTTGGTCTAAGTTGTTCCTCTACTGGGACACGTCTCCATGCTCTAATGTTCAAAAAGGTATTTATTTTTCTCATCCTGCCTGTGCTGCAGCACCTCTTTTAACCCTCTGTCTGAAACCAGAGCCCAGTCTGCTCTGATTGGTTAGCTGGCCGGCTCTGTCGTGATTGATCAACCGTTTAGAGATGTCCCGCCCCTTAGTCTATCATGTACAATGTGTTGGATCACTAGCCAATAGAAGCGCAAGTGTTAGATTACATTACATTACATTACATTACATTGCATTTAGCTGACGCTTTTATCCAAAGCGACTTACAATAACTACATTCGACCAGGAAGACACAACCTTGAAGAAAACAGAATCATATAAGTACATCAGGTTTCATAGAGCCAAACATTTCAAGTGCTACTCAACTGGCTTTAGGTAAGCCAGTCCTTTATTAGTATAAAAGTGCTTCGTTAATAGTTCTAACGCTCGAAGTGGAGTCGAAAGAGATGAGTTTTCAGTTTGCGCCGGAAGATGTGCAAGCTATCTGCCGTCCTGATGTCAATGGGGAGCTCATTCCACCATCTTGGAGCCAGGACAGCAAACCCACGTGTTTTCGCCGATGGGAATTTGGGTCCCCCTCGCAGCGAGGGCGCAACGAGTCGGTTGGCTGATGCAGAGCGTAGTGCACGCGCTGGGGTGTACGGTTTAACCATGTCCTGGATGTACGAAGGGCCAGATCCATTCGCAGCATGGTAAGCAAGTACCAGTGTCTTGAAGTGGATTCTAGCAGTTACCGGAAGCCAGTGAAGGGAGCGGAGGAGCGGAGTGGTGTGGGAGAATTTAGGAAGGTTGAAGACCAGACGAGCCGCTGCATTCTGGATGAGCTGCAGAGGTCGGATGGCACATGCAGGTAGACCAGCCAGGAGGGAGTTGCAGTAGTCTAGGCGTGAGATGACGAGAGCCTAGACCAGAACCTGAGTCGCTTTCTGAGTCAGCTGGGGACGTATCTTCCTGATGTTGTAAAGCGTGTATCTGCAGCAACGGGTTGTAGCAGCGATGTTTGCAGTGAAGGACAGGTTGTTATCTAGGGTCACACCCAGATTCCTTGCAGTCTGAGTCGGGGAAACAACTGAGGTGCCGATGTTGATTGTTAGGTCAAGAGTGGGACAATCTTTTCCCGGGAGGAAGAGCAGCTCAGTCTTGTCAAGGTTGAGCTTGAGGTGGTGAGCAGACATCCACTGAGAGATGTCAGCTAGACAAGCAGAGATGCGTGCAACGACCTGGGTCTCTGAGCGGGGAAAGGACAGAATTAATTGGGTGTCATCAGCGTAGCAGTGGTAAGAAAAACCATGCGGGCTAATGACTGATCCGAGCGAGTTTGTGTACAGGGAGAAGAGGAGGGGACCAAGAACAGAGCCCTGAGGGACCCCCGTAGTTAATTGACAAGGGTCGGTCTCAGACCCTCTCCAAGTCACCCTGTAGGTACGGTCTTTCAGGTATGAGGTGAGGAGGGAAAGTGCAGAGCCTGAAACTCCAAGTTTTTGGAGAGTGCGAAGGAGGATCTGATGATTCACCGTGTCGAATGCAGCAGACAGGTCCAATAGGATGATGACAGAGGAGAGGGATGCAGTTTTGGCAGTGTGCAGTTCCTCCGTGACAGCAATGAGAGCAGTTTCTGTGGAGTGACCTGCCTTGAAACCAGACTGGTGCGGATCCAGAAGGTTGTTCTGATTGAGATAACAGGAGAGTTGTTTAAAGACAGCGCGTTCAAGTGATTTAGACAGGAACGGGAGGAGAGAGACAGGCCTGTAGTTTATAACATCAGACGGGTTGAGAGTGGGTTTCTTTAGGAGAGGGTTTACTCTTGCCTCCTTGAGACTGTTTGGAAAGTGACCAGAAGTTAGAGAAGTGTTGATGAAATGGGTGAGAAACGGTAGAATATCAGGAGCGATAGTCTGAAGGAGGTTTGAAGGGATAGGGTCCAGAGGACAGGTGGTAGGGCGGGCAGAGGTAATGAGGGTAAGAACCTCACTTGGAGAGAGAGGGGGAAAGGAGGTCAGTGTGTGGGTGGAAGGAGGGTCTGGTGACCCAGCGGTGAGTAAAGGTGAGTCAGAAAAAGAAGAGCGAATATCATCAACCTTTTTTTCAAAGTGGGTAACAAAGTCGCTTGACAGAAGTGAGGAGGGGGGAGGAGCTTTTGGAGGGTCCAAGAGGGTGGAGAAGATGGAAAATAGTTTTTTAGGATTGGAATAGGAAGATTGGATCTTATCTTGAAAGAAAGTGCTTTTTGCCTGAGAGATCGAAGCAGAGAAAGAGGAGAGGAGAGCCTGATAGGTTAGGAGGTCGTCACGGTGTTTGGATTTCCACCATTTCCGCTCTGCTGCCCTAAGGACGGTTCTATTAGCACACAGTGCATCATTTAGCCAGGGAGCAGGAGGGGACTGACGAGCCTGCCGAGATGTGAGAGGACAGAGCGAGTCCAGAGTGGATGAGAGAGTAGAGAGGAGAGTTTCTGCAGCAGAGTTTGGAGGCAGGAGATGGAACGAATCAGAGGAAGGGAGGGCTGAGAGCACCGACGAGGCAAAGCTAGAGGGGGAGAGGGAGCGAAGGTTACGGCGGACAAGTGCAGGATGAGAAGAGATTAGTTTGTTATGTTTGGAAAGGGATAGAGAGAATGAAATGAAGAAGTGATCAGATGTGTGGAGCGGGTTTACAGAGAGGTTAGAAGTAGCGCAGTTCCTTGAGAATATGAGATCAAGGACATTGCCAGCTTTATGAGTCGGTGGGGACGGAGACAGTGAGAAAGCAAAGGCGGTTAACAGAGATGTTAGTTTGTCTATCTTCCCCGTCTGGAGGTTGAAGTCTCCGAGAAGTACAGCGGGAGGGCCAGTTTCAGGGATGAGTGAGAGGAGATTATCTAATTCCTCCAAGAAGTCCCCCAAGGCGCCTGGTGGACGGTAGAGAACAACAATGGTTAACTGTATAGGATGGGTTACTGTGACGGCATGGAATTCAAAGGTGGTGGAAGGAGTGAAGTTAGGTAGCTTGAAGAGGGAAAAGCTCCATTTGGGAGAGAGCAGGAGACCAGTGCCACCTCCTCTGCCAGTGGGTCTGGGTGTATGGGAGAAGGAATATGCAGTGGAGAGAGCTGCTGGGGTGGATGTGTTGGATGGAGTAATCCAGGTCTCAGTGAGAGCAAGGAAATCCAGAGACTGCAGGGAGGCGTAGCCAGAGATGAAGTCAGCCTTAGGAACAGCTGACTGGCAATTCCACAGGCCACCAGAAACTAGATGTTGGATCTCAGTGGAGCACGTGGGATAGACGAGAGCAGGCCGGTTATATCGATTAGGAGATACACAGGGCCAGTGATAATTGCGAGAAGACACATGAATAGAGAATAGAGAAAATACACATGATTATAGCATGCGGGGCTAGAAAACTAAAGAAAAGAGAAATAAGACACCAGCTCGATCAGAGTAGGATTTGCCTCCTCTTTACCTCCCTCGTGACTCCCGCAGGACTCCAATGTCTTTGTCAGTCTTACTCCCGCAGGACTCCAATGTCTTTGTCAGTCTTCGGCTGTCTGACGCTGAAGCTGACGCTCCAGGAAAGAGCTACCCGAAATGGACGCCTGATTGCTCAGTTCTCACAGCTGTAGGGCCACGGCCCTCTAATTAGTTAACTATCTACAGCTGATGGGCGACAAGACTGGCCGTGCCTATATTAATGCAGGCTTGAGTGCTGAGACCTGTAAAGCAGGTTTCGCCTGAGCAGATCTGAGATTTAAAATCTCTCAAACGCGATTTAGCCGTTTACGCTACAATAACAATTTATACAGAGTCGAATAAATGAAACAGAGAAGTCTAATTAAACAAGAATATAACTTACAGTGGTTGCTGCGTCAATAGGTAATGTCGTCACCGGGTCCAGATGCACACTAGATAGTGATGTCATTGAGTTGCGGAGGTAAACAAAAGAGTCCAATGGAGGCGTTTCAGGCAGGGGGGGGAATGGTGTGTGGGTGATAAATTAGGGGATGTTATCCTTTGAAGAACATTTATACGCACCAAAACCTTCATAACACACTACAGGGAAGGGAACGCCAAAAATGAATAATAAGGCGGGCCTATAAAGTGAGGTTTTAAATGCAGGACTTTTACTTGAGTGAAGAATCTGGAGATTGCTTCAACCACCTCCTTGGACCTAATTTTAGAGAACTTCTACAAAGGACACATCAATGATTCATCCTAAAATAGTAGGGGGTTGTTAGAGTAGAATTCAGCAGGAGGAAGTAATAGAAAGTGAATCCCTGCAGTGAAACCTGACCTCTGCTCCCGCTCAGCATGCAGCTCTGTCTCCAGCTCAGAGGAAGTATCTGTGCAACGTGGCAGCTTCTCACAGCCCGGCACGCGTCCGTCAGCTCATCACCCAGCACTACATGAACGTGCTGTACAGGTGTATACCAGCAGGTGAGAAACACTAACCGCAAGGTTTGTCTTTATTCTTGACAACATGTCTTTAAGAGAACATCTTACACCGTTGCCTAGAAAGCAACTATGTGGGTTTGCAGGTATACCTCTCACATCCTATTTGACCAGAAGCACACTTCCTTTATTCTTATGGTTTTAGTTGCTTTATTTACCAATGAAGTCATGAAGCACATTTATTATGTATTCAACACTACCTCTTGTACCTCCTTCTATATTCCTGTACAGTTTCTGTAAGCATACATTATTATATATTGTATATTATTTTTAATTTAATTTGTACATACTGTATTTGCTTTGATGATCTGGAGTTTTGTCAAACACTGATGTTTGTTTTAATTCCTTTATTTCACTTGTTGCTGGTATTGGCATTATTTCCAATGTTAGTAATGCACTTTAAATGAACCTTTAACACAGGACTAACAGTAATTTGATATTTTAGTCTTTCACTTCTTTATGTCCACGCATGACTGTTTCTAGACGGCAGCCCAGAAAGAGAGGAGCTTGTTGAGTCTTCTGTGGCTGATAAGAGAGATAAACATCCACCAGAAGTTCAGTTGAGGGCGAAACACAGGAAGAAGATTAAAAGTGGTGCAAAGAATTCTGGGAGATCCTGTCATCCAAAAATCTCAAACCAAAAATCCAGGTGACACCCACTTTCAACAGATATGTACACACACAGAAACATATTTCAAAGGAACATATGTACACGTTTTCCATAAAAAGGAGATGCAATTATTTTATGTTTCTTTGCAATTTTTCAGGTGGAAGATATCTCGTCTTTTTTTCAACAAGGCCTCCAACACATACGACCAAATGGGTCGATTGTTCAAGCGCTTAATACGACCTATAATTACGTTTAAAGTTGTCGGCCTCTAGTTGAATGCAAACGTTACAGAGGGTCGTTTATTCACAAATAACCCTCTCTGTAAAATCCTAAATTGTAGGATAGTTTGGCCATTAAAACGCTTTATGATTAGATTTCTAGCGAGAAGTATATATTGTACTTTTAGAATCCACGTCCAGTCGATATGTAGGATCAATAGTTTGATAGATATTACGAAGATGATTTGAGGTTTCGTCAGGAGAACGTGTATATGCGGCAAGCTTCCATGTAAAGTTACGGGTTGAAAACAGTATTTCCGGTCTCGACGTTTTCATAATAAAACCAATGATCAAATGATTTAACAGTGATATCTGCAGTACTCATCCACTAAAAAACATCAGTTTATACGTGTTAATTATACGACATTTATTGGTTTAAATTGTGTACAATGCTTTTGTGTTTTTCCCATAGGTTTTTCTCTTTCGATTCTGAGAGACACCTTTCTTTTTTCAGAGGTTTTGATAGGCTAAAATCGTCGGATCTAATAAAAAAGCATTTTAATGGCCAAACTATTCCACAATTTAGGATTTTCCAGAGAGGGTTATTTGAGAATAAAAGACCCTCCGGAGCGTTTGCGATCGACAGGAGCATGTTGTTTCTTACACGACCACTAGAGGTGCTACACTTTAAAACGTGACTCTGGGTCGTATTTAGCTGCTGAACAATCGACCTATATGGTCGTTTTTTGTAGGAGGACAGGCTGCTTTTTTTGTCCTTAAATTAACATTATACAGAATGTCTATGTACTCCTCTGTTTTATAAACACTGCAGGCTTTCCAAGAAATCAACATCAAAACCAACAAAGACGAACAAACATAAAACTAAATCTCCCAAACTGAGAAGAAACAGTCCAGGAAGTAAGTCACAGAAATGTTCATGATATACATATTTGTTTTACATCATTGGTAGAAGCAAAATTAGGGTATTGTATGGAAGCCTGTTTGCGCCACAGGAAGAAAATCCTGAGAGTCAATATATTGACTTAGCTATCTCAATATATTGAGTTATATATATATTTTTTTTATTGAAACAATTATGTCAAATACAGAATAAGGCACATAGACATCAATGTTCATCATATAAGCGGTACAACTTCATATTAAGGTACACAAATTCACCATCAACTAGTTGTTAATTAACATGCATATTAGCAGTATATTGGCTCTTTATTAGTCATTATAAAACACTTATTAATGCCTTATTCTTCATGACCATATTCTACAATTAATCTGTGCATGTTACACTTGCATGTATGAGATCATTAAGTGCCTTGTAACTTCTTTTTTTTTATAGTTTCACTCCGTTTGAATGTCAGCGGACTGCAAATAAGTCAATAAAGGAGCATGGCTGCAAGCCAGCTCTCAAAAGAGTTTCGCTGGCTGTTTAATCTATGTTCACACTGAAACAGAACAACAAATAGAGAGAACAGTACACCTATTGTGTAAGTACTGTTGACAGTTCTGCTGTTTAAGTGGCCGTGTCAGACCTGACCTTACCTCACCTACCTCTATTAAGCTTACCATTGATAAAAATATATTCCTGTGGCGCAAACAGGCTTCCATAGTATTGTTTTAAATCACTGCTTTATATTTGTAATAATTTTATATTAAACAGTATTTTTTTCTACTGTACAGTATTTTATTTTACCGTCTGTTTTATCTTTTTCAATTTGACATGCATATATTTTTTACTTATTTGTGCATTTGACTTAACATGATGTCACATGCATTAGTTTTATGCACTGTGTGAATTTCTTTATTTCTTATATCTTTAATATAATGTTTTATAATTAGAGGAAGATGGGACTTAAAAAATGTATGGTTGTACCAGAAATGTTTGTGATTGTTTAATCAAATTGATATAATTATTTTAAGTATATTAAACCATATTTGTTTAGTTGGTTAAATGTTTTAGTTTTTGTTACAGGGGCCAGGATCCAGCTTTTGGATGAGGAAGAGGAGGAAGGACCAGAAGAGTTCCTGAGTGACTGTTTTAGTTCACTCTCTATGGAAGGATGGGAGGATGACACCTTCTCAGATTTATGACATTTCTATTGAAAGTCTGAGTTGTCACAATAACATTTTTTGTCAAAATATAAGAGTAATATTGACATTCGTATAGCCCCTCATAAAGGTCAACCGAACTCCTGGTTAATCATAAATAATCATCATAAAACTTGGGGATCTTATACAAGTAAAATACAGAATCGTAACACTTTGTGAGTAGCTCAGTATTTGTCTCTAAAACCTGCACCAGGTGGTTTTGTGCTTTGGAGCCCCCTAGTGGCACAGAGACAACACTTTTTCTCAGTTTCTCGGAAATCACGTGATCAGATCTTGAGTGTGTGAAATATTAGGATCACATGATCACATCTCATGGCTTGACCTTGACTGAACTATTTGAAAGTAAATAATTTACATATTAGGATTATCTATAGCGAACAGCAACATTTACCGGATTATTTTTTAATTACATTGGACTGAAGCCATTTAGATATGTTGCACAAAGCCAGCTCCATAAATAAATGGAAGACTTTGGTCGGCATTTAAATGTTAACCCGATACAACACCTTCTTGGATAATACAACCCAATAGTGTTATAATTCCTGATGGTTTCTCATCTAAAATCGAGTCTGTTTATACTGGATGATTCTTGCACAACAACCAATCAACAAGGGTGCGAACGGGCTCAATGCAGGCAGAGGGATTTAATCCATTTTTGCCTGATAACAACACATCAGTTTCGTCTGTTTTGAACGTCAAACTCTGCATAAAGTTTTACATTTCCCAGAAATTCGTGTCTAATGTTTCTGTAATCAGTTTGCTAACATGACCCTAACTGTATTATACGTTTTTATTCCTGGATACTTGAATATTTTTCTGAAAACAAGCATACTTTTCTACAATATTACATTATACGTCAAAAAAAGAACACCAACCTCAAAAAAGCCAATGTGAAAGATACAACACTATCAGTGAAAGGATATTTGATCACATTTCTAGGTTTTATTCGATTTTTTTATCAGGTTAAGTGCACATTTGATCATGTTGTCAGGAAATTATTATACCATTAGGTAGGCTACTCATCATCAAACATCAGTGTTCAACGCTAATAATTATCTTGTGTAATCCCTGCAGCCAAGTTTCTAAATATGGTATAAAGACAGACACTGGAGGGTGTTTTAGCAGAGTATTACTCATAGTGTCGTAATGAAAAGTTGAGGTGTGCACAGCTGTGGGATGAAAATAAAGTTGGGGACTTTTGGGAAACCTGTTGCACGTCTAAAGAATAAGGGAGTGCATCTCTCAATTTTAACAAGGAATAATAACAATCGAAATGCATCCTCTGGGTTTCCCCTCTGCTCTTTCCCTTCTGCCACAATTAGTGATGCAATATATTACAATATTTTAATTATGTAATATAATACTCTGATGACAGTCACGCATTCACTTGTTATTATTAGAGGGTTCGGCTAGAGTCACATGATTTAGTATAGTCAGAATTTGATGATTTTTAGACATGATTTAGTCAAATAAAAACTTGAACTTAAAGGTATGTTAATTCACTTCAGAAACACTTTTTGCTATATTCCATGGAATGCTCTTAACATCCCGATAGCAATGAATATCTTAAGTGCTTTGACAAAAAAATCCATTAAAAAACGTCATCTGTGGAAGCCGTGGCGCTGTAAAAAGCACGACCGAGAATCATCTGAGCCGGCCCGGCTAAAATAACTGGATGGCCTACCTGCCTGTCAGCCTTCCATCTCGTGCACAAATGTATCTCGTGCCCTCATTGGTCATGTGCGCGTGCGTTGTGTGTTGGAGGAGGGGCTCTGTACGGAAGTCTGAAGGAAGAGGCAGATTTTTTTCGGCTGCGTACTTTCACATTCTAGCTCACTCGAGCTGGTTTCTCCATTCTTACCGGTAGGTAAGTCCTTTAATTTGGACTTCAACACTTTACTTAGTTTTAATCCTTTTGACTTGAATATGTTTGATACCTTCCCCCAAAACCAAAGATTAAACAGTATTGTATTTAATAAGTGTGCCACAAATCAATAGGTTTTCCATTTATATGCTATAACAATCTCAACATACCTTTTTTAATGATAACGTTGAGTCACACTTGTTTAAACAAATACATGCCAATTTAAAAAATAACTCTTGATTTTTCTCTAAATGTTATATATTAATACTCTTGTTTGAAATGGCATTCAATATTTTAAAGAGTGTGTAATGGCTTATTTAAGACATGCAAGATTTACTTAAATCTTATAATAAATAACCTGTTCACATTTCTTTCAGTATTATTAAAGTCAAAACAACCGGTGGAGTGAAATTAGATCTTTATTGTGGGAAATAAATGATTGACATAAAGGCCGACTACATGAAGCTAAAGGCCTGTTGGTTACAGGACAACATGACGAGGGCGAAAAAGTTGACAAAACAAAAGAAAATAAAAGAAAATGGCACCGAATATTTCTTTTGATAACAAATACATGTGGTATTATTGCATTCTCTACAGTTACCAAATGACAGCTGGGATACAAGCAAATGCTGATGACATATAAACAATATAATACATATTCTTCTTTTAGAGTTACTGAACAGTTTGTTACAGCATTAACATTGTGGTGACTGCAGGGGAGCTGCTGCCCCCTGGTGGAAAGGAATGAAACGATACACTGAGCCACGCTAAACCCAACGCCTCCTCTTCCTCCACCTTTAAGATTTCTTATACTCAATTCTCTCCACCTTGACGTCATCGCCGATCAGCTGATAAACGTATGTCACCACTGTAGAAGCCTGGATGTCCATTAATACAAAAGAGGGGATGATGTTGCTGTAAGGAGAGAGGAAGATGTGTTTAAGGTCAAAGCTTTTCCTGACTGTGTGTAATTATAGTCAGTCTGGTTTCTAGAGTTACACCTGTTTTGTGTCACACTGGAGGACATCATCAGTGTAATGAACATCTGCAGTTATTGTCTTTTTAGAAAATAAATACTTAAAAGAAAAAGTCCTACAAAGTTAAGGAAAAGTAGAGGTAGTCAAATTGTGGTATATAAGTGTTCATTTCAGAATAATTTATATCATATAACTAGTTATATTATTATTGTATTTTATTATTTATGTTAGTGGTAGTGGTAGTATTGTTATTATTATGGTTATTATTATAAGTCAGTTGATTGAATGATTGTTTTAAAAAGTGATTAAATATATCCAACTGACTGGTTTGTAGTGAAAAAAAGAATAATATATACCTCTGAATTTCAGTGCAATATACAGTAAGTATATAAGTAGCATGAAGTTGAAATACTCAAGTTAAGTACAAGCACCTAGAAATTGTACTTAAGTACCGATTAGATTCCCCAACTGAGCAAGAGATTTCATTATAACAAGTTGCCACTCCTAGCTTATGTGGTGACATTATGAGGTGGTTTTAATCCGTGTTAATGACTCTTCTACCTTTCCAGTGGGCTGTAGGCTCCTGTGGCCGAACCAGGGTTGATGTAGAACTTGTTTTCGTTCTCGAACGCCTCAAACTTGTGTGTGTGGCCGGAGATGAGGATGTCGACGTCCAGCTGTCTCTGAAGCAGCGCCAGGCTGGCCATGTCGCCCCATGGGATCACCTGGTGGCCGTGAATGAGACCGATCTTAAACTGACCCACCGTCACCACCTTCTGCTCCGGGTAGTTCAGGTTCTGAGTAGGAAAAAAAATAAAATGAGTTGAATTTTTGATTTGATTAGATGTATTTCGAATGTGTAAAACAATAATACCAACATTTAACATGAGAATTATTATACAATACACAATTAATCAGTGTCAAATAGATATACAAAAATATTACTGATTCTAAATTATGTATAAACAAATAAACAAATAATCTACTTAATTACACATCCGAAAATTCATCAAGTAATCACAGTACTTATCATTTAAAAAGTGCTTCTTTTAATGATATGGTTTAACAGTCAAATCTGCAGTTATTACTGTATTAAAATTATGTCTTTTTTTCAATGTGTTTCTAAAAATTGTGAACTAAAACTTACATTTGCGAGAAGGGAGCTGTTACAATTTCATTACACGGCTATTAGTCTTCAGTACCGGCAGGAGATCCGTTTAATTTCCTTCTTGCTTGTAAATATTTAGCTGTATAAATTAAGGCTTTTCCCCTCAAATGTAACCTCAGTTCAAAACCTCTATTGGAATATATGTAAAATAATAATTATGATGGACTTTGAAGAACACTGTCAAACCCCCGTAACATTGTTAAAAGAGCCCTATTATACTTTTTGGAGTTTTCCCTTTCCTGTAGTGTGTTCTATATCCTAAAGTTCTCCCCCCCCCCCGTCTGAAACGCCTCTATTTGACTCCTTTGTTTACTTCTGTAACATACACTCATGCTCCTATTGGCTAGCGCTCCAACACATTGTACGTAATACAGTAGGCTAAGGGGCGGGATATTTCTAAGTGGTTGTCCAATCACAACAGAGCCGGCCAGCTAACCAATCAGAGCAGACTGGGCTCTGGTTTCAGACAGAGGGTGAAAAGAGGTGCTGCAGGACAGGCAGTATGAGAAAGATAAAGAGCTTTTTGAACATTAAAGCATAAAACATTTGCATAATATGGTTCATTAATTATACACAGGCCATATGGGTATACAAAAACGGGAAACTCAATCATGCACCCATTCCCACAGCCTAAGTCATTTAGTTTAAGTAATCAATCCCTTAGCCTTATTCAACATTTTGAGTGTTTTTTTTATTTGTATTCTTGTCTTCAAACTGACCTCATCAAAGTCTCCTCGGACTATGTGGACGTCTCCAGCGAGGGTCTTCAGGTAGTCATAGCTCTCCTTGGTGCAGAGGTTTCCCGTGCAGAGGATGTGCTGGATCTTCCCCGGGACCAACAGCTTCTTGAACTTGGCTGGCAGGGTGTTGCACCGATGGGGGATGTGCAGGTCACCTAACACCAGGACCAACTGACAGCATCGAACACACACACACACACAAACTAACAGGTTAGTCACCCACCAATGAGTTCAGGCTATGGGATGTAGCCTCTGAACATTGGAAAAACAATGTGGGCCGAGGAAAGAGCCCTGTGGGATGCCGCTAGTCGGGATCCAGCACAACAACTTTACTTCTAAGTTAGTAATTATAATATGTATCATATATTGTTAACAAAACACAACAAAACACTTTCTACTTTACTGTTATTTCAACTAAACAACAACCCATCTCAAGGATAATTCAGTAAAAATAAACAGGCTTAATTCATGAAGCTCAAACTTGTAAATAAGCAACGTTTGTGTCAGAAATAAGCTTGGTTTATTAAGTGTCTGAATTCCAACTGTGTTGTGAATGTAATTTGTTACAGAATCTGAAAAACCACAGCACATATGGATTGGAAAAATATTGATTGAATCTGTACAGATGGATTTCAGACGGTCAATAACAGATGTAGGGCATGAGAGCGAGAAAATTATGTTTTCACATAAAGAGTCAATAGGAATAAAAAAAACAGCAAATTTGAATGTTTTTACAAAAAATAAAACCCTTTAACAAACTTTTAACCCAACTGACCAGCAGATAAATGCTGTTCATGTTAATTGAGAAAGCATGGGACGACTTTGATGAACAATTATAGAAATGTTTTGGTCACTTCAAAAACATGCTTGTCAAAAAACATTGTATTTATTTAGTTGAATGACTATATTTGGTTACGGCATATTGCAAACTATCATTCCGGAAAAACGGGAAACTATGTCCTGATTGGATTTCCTCAACAAAAAATGGCTTAAGATATGTCCATGGAACAAAGTAGAAATCCTGTTATTAAATAGATGAGTCACTAAAAGAGGAATCATTTAAAGTTGTAAAACGTTTTCAGCAACATGACTTTAAAGCCTGTCTGAGTCATATTATATATTTGTTCAAGTGCTTTATTTAAGGACGACAGTTAAACTAATAAAACATGACTCGGGATAAAAGCCGTTTTATTTTCTTTGCAGTTTTTTTTACATATATCTCTTATCCATTAGGTTTGCTATAATCAAACAACATTACGGTTTGATTCATTTGATAGCTCAATACAATTTTGTTGTATTGGCCATTCAGATATTTCAGCAACTAAGTATAACATTTATTGAAGATATATTTCTAAAGGTTAATAGAAAAGTGATATTCTCCCTAAAATGTAATTTACTTATCTATCCCATACTGTATTGTTAGGGGGTCAGGAAGTAAACAGCACTTTGTGAGATTTAGATGTAGATTTTTATACCGGTTTTAGACATCTAACTTAGGAGCTTAAGGTTTCCTACTTTTAATTATTTTGTTTTAATGAGTTGCAAGTTATTACTTGTTTAGGAGAACAGCTGAGAGCAGGTGTAATTAAAGCATAATATCCCAGGAGTGCAGTTGCTGAATTAGCAGCATAAACCACAGACCTCCCCAGCTGTGCAAAACCCAACCCTCATGTTAGCGTGGCAGGCAGAAAAGCGAGCAGAAAGACAGGGACCCAACACAAAGCGAGGGCACTTACCCGGTGACCAGACTGGTGGATTGGAGACAGGCAATGAGGGGTGGGAGGAGGACAGTGGGTGAGATAGGAAAGAAGGCAGGATGTGCACGGAGAGAACGACATGAGGCATGATCAACGGTAGCAACATAAGAAAAACAAAAGACAAGAAAGATTTGGGACAAGAAAACTGAAATTAGAAATTAAAAAGTGAATGGAATAAGATATTAATCATTCAAAAACAAACCAGAAAAGTGAATGGTGGAATCGATTGTTAATGGTTGATGGTTAGTGATCATGACAAAGAACATATATAGATTTCAGCCAACGGAATGTGATCAAAATCATATGGGGAAGCAAATCAAAGTGCTGACTAGAATTTAGTTATAATCAATAGTGATCAGTGGTGGAATGTAACTACACACATTTACTGAAGTTCTGTTAAAAAGTACACATTTGAGGTACTTGTACTTCAGTATTTTAATTGTAAGGCAACTTGTACTCCGCTACATATCAGAGGTAAAGCTTTAGTTACAGTTGTGACTCATAGGAAATCACGTATTTTCAGATGTTATAATTGTGTATGTTTGTGATAAACTGAAGGATTCATTGTTGGAAAAAGATCCTACTTCTTCACAAAGATGAACATGGGGTTGATTCTGAGCAACTCATTAAAGTTAACTTTTAGAGATACATTGCAAACATGATAATTGTATAGACTATGATGCATTGCTGTACTTACTGCTGTAATCTACCTAAATATAAATAGAGGAGGTCAAATAAGCACAAAACTAAACATTTACAGCAGTAAAATGCAACATAAAACTATTAACCAAAATCATCAAATATAATAAGTAAAACACTGGCAGGAAACATTTTAATACACAATGACTATTTTTACTTTCATACATTTGGCTTATTGTATAATTGTATTTCACTATGATTTTGAATATAGGACTTTTACTTGTGGTTGAGTACTTTCACAGCGTGGTATTATTACTGCTTTTCACTTAAGAAAATGATCTGAATACTTGTTCCACCACTTATTATAATAATCCTGCTACATAGATTCAAACTGCATCTGAATGAATGAATAATTGAACACTAGTTCTGGTGTAAAAAACAGCTTTGTCTAACTCGTTAAGCCTACCTTTAGAAATAAGTCACAGTTTAAATGCAGGTTAAACGCTGAGTGATCACATCATTATTGCTTCACAGGAAAAGTGCTCCATAAGATAAAGTGGCTGTTAGCCGGTTAGCCCAGCTAGCATTCAGGAAAAAGTAAAAATTGCCCTGATATCAATTATACAGATAGTAAGAATGGATAATGAACACACATAAAAAGCTTAAAAGACCCCCATGCAAATGAAGAGAGTGACTTTTAGGGTGCTTGCAGTTTTTTTGCAGTGAATTTTTTGGGGGGACTAAAGTGCTCAGCTGTCATGTGATCGTAGATCCATCTCGCAATGAAACTTCCCTTAAATAAAACCTTAATTTCAGACTGTTCGGGCACGCCAACAACATGATGTCGATTCACGCATGTCGACGACGTGTCCAAGAGGTAATCATGATCGAGACGGTGGCTTAAAATGTGCTAAATTGTGGCATTTTCGCCATTTCATACTCACCATCTTCTATTTTGCTGTTTCTGCTCAGTCAAGTTGAGGAAGCGCCTACGCACGTACAGCGTCACGCCGTCAGCCAATCAGAGGAGAGAATGCGTGACGCGTCAAATGAGATAAAACACTTCCTTTTGTCCTTTCAAAATAAAACGAGAAGAAGTATTACTTAATGTTTTATGTTATAATAACTTTATTGTATACGTGCTCAGTAAGTACATAAAGAAAGGAACTAAATAAATAATTAATGTAATCAAAATTGATACAGTTACAATGAACTTCAGGTGTAAAACGTGTTTAATGTCAAAGGTAATTAAAATACCACTCCATCAGGGTATTATGTTTTTGGATTAATATTACTGATGCATGAATGCGTCTGTTGCATTCTACTTCTCTAGGTGTTCATGGTTATGCTGTCTTATTTTAATACATTGCAGAAAGCTACTTGATAATGAATAATGATGAGAAGAAAAATGACAATCAATTGAGAAAAGTATCACAAGAGGTGGAAGAAGTACTCATATCTTAAGTAAAAGTAGAAATATCACAGTGTAGGGATACTCTGTTACAAGTAAAAGTCCTGCATTGCAAATGTTACTCAAGTAAAAATAGAAAAGTATTGCCATCAAAATATAGTTAAGCAACACAAGTAAAAGTACTCAATCTGCAGATTGGCCCATTTCAGAATAATATATCTTTTAGATTTTGATTATCATTATTGATGCATTAAAGTGTTGGTAAAGGTAATCAAAGCTGGTTAAGGTGGAGCTTTTAATGCCTTTGTATGCTCCAGGGTAGATTGTGTATTTACTCCAGGTGTAACTTATTTAAGTTTTGTATATTTCACATCATCATTCAAAATCTGCATAGTAATGGCATTTAATTAATGTAGTGAAGTAAAAGTACACGGTTTATCTCTGAAGTGTAGTGGGGTATAAATACAAAGCATACTCAAGTAAAGGGCAAAAACCTCAACATATTACTTAATTAGAGTCCGGACTTTTATTGTTATATGAATGACATGACCGGAAGTTGCTAACGCCGTGCGTCATGCGCTGCGTCCGTTGGCATGACGTCGGTCAGTTAAAGCGACGTGAGTTAGCAGTGTTTCGCGGAACATTCGAGAGGTAAGATGCGAGAATATTTTATCCCAATTTCCCCCGGCCTTGTCCTGACGTGGATTTCGCATCGGCAGTTGTTAATCAATAAAGAGAGGAAATGAAGTTAGATGAACCAGCGTTAAATACATTTCTTACATTGTTTTTATTATCTTTAAACCCAACTGCGTCTTCGTCTAATAACTGTGTTAGCTGCGGAACGTCAGTTAGCTTAGCATATGGGCTTTGGCTATTTCCTGGAGTGCTGATACTGTGAACGTCTGTTTATGTAACTGCTTTAGAGACGCATAATGGGCTTGTATCACCTTGAGAGTAATTATATTTTATATGTATTGTAATTTGTGGGATTGTTGGCGACGACACACCACGTGCAATATTAATGATAGCCAGTTAGCTAGATGTCGTAACACGCTCACTCATCATTACGTTACTACTAATGGAATATCATCAACATTACTGTAGTGTAAGGGAAAACATGTAAAACCATTTTATAGCATACTAAGACATTTTTTGTGTGACATAAGAACTTCAAGAATTATAAATCGATGGGATTATCACGAACCAACCAAAAACAAGTAATTAGTTTATCCTTTAAACTACGCAGAACATTTAAAAAAAAAAACTCAAAACAATTATTTGCCTTTGTTTATTTTGAGGGTGTTTGAAATTGTATAGTTGGAATTCAGGCGAATAGTTATTTGAACACCTAGGGTAAATAAGGACACGTATAAAGAACATATGTATATCTGTCAAAGGGTAAACCTAGCGGTGAAAGGGTAGTCTATTAAATACTTTATTCATCCAACATTTTGAAATGATTCTGTTACAGCAGCAATGTCATCAGGCTTTCCATATTTAAAACTTGGAATAAAGTACGAACATCTTATAATAAAACGGCAACAAATATATACATATCTGCCATAGAAACGAAATGTGAATAAATCATGTTATGGACGTTATAATAAGCTTCAGCCTACACTCATTTAAATATATATATATATATATATATGTGTTTCCATTTAATCTACTGCCTCACCTTATTTATTTTATGATACTTTTCTTTTTATTAAGGACACAAATAAGTAACTACTAGCCACTCCTTGACATAGCGGAACATTTGACAATCGTCCCGACTTTTTTGTAAGGAGCTACTTTGTAGATAAAAGTCCATTCAGGCAATAAACGCTGTGAAAGCAGACCTTTTCAGAAAATGTTATTTAGAGGGATTTTATAACAGATACGTGCGTGACGATGGTGCTTCCCACCCAATGAACTACAGCACCTGATGCTGCTAACGTTAGCGTTTTTATTCGTCCGCAGTTTGTGTGGATAACAATACGCCTCTCCTCCCCTAAAGGTCCCCCAAAACCCCCGAGGACTTTCCAGTTAACCTCCGAGCCTGGCAACTGCACTGTTTGGACGCTTTAGGGTGTTTAACTGTGCATCTTTGGGAGCTGAAAAAACACTAAGAACCCTGCTGCAATCGATACAACACCAGCACCAGCCATCGACCAGCGTTCACTGCGGCTCTTGGACGATCAGCGTTGTGTTTATGTCTTTGTTTTGCGAAAACGGTAAGTCACAGCAACAGTTTGTGGGTTATTTTAAATGTTTGTCTACATGTATGGGTGCGTGGGTGTATTTCCAGCGGTATTATTGTGCAATATGACGTGTTTTCTGTATCAAAATGGCGTCTCCCAGTCCCACTCGTGTGTGCAGTGGCTGCATGACGCACTCTGCACCAAGTAGCCAAGCTAAAGCTAAGTTAGCCTCCTTCTGAAATGACACTCGACCTCTGCCTCCTTTCTGAAACTCCTCAGCCTCGGGCATCGCTGTCTCATTGTCACACCGCTTGTGAGTAATTTGATATCGCAGTTCGGAAACTACAGACTAGCTGGCGTTAAAGCCGTCAGTAAGAGGAGAGTAGTGAGGCAGCTGCTAGGCCTCCTCCTGTTTGTGACCTAATAACAAGAGAAGGCCTTATGTGACTAAAACCAGAGGCCCTCATGTAAGACAAAAGGCTTTTACAAAACACATTTTCTACATGTATGGTAACAAAATGTTCTAGTTTAGTGACAGGATTTTATTTTTTCCTTTGGATTAATCTGTCATGCTTGCTCGCGGTTGGATCACATGGTCATTTGCTGCTTGGATTTGTCAGCAGATTTTTCTGATTTCAAAGGGTTTAAATTGTAATCTTTCAATGAATATATAAATACTCAAACTTGCTGAACAGGAGACATATTTATATAAGGGATGTCCCATAATGTCCCCCATATGGCTCTTGATTCTCTATTAATTGAACTGTCATAACTCAGTCTGACCTGGCTTATTAGTGGCATTCAGGTAAACTGTTAAATCGTTTTTCACACTGCAATTACTGTCTAATCCTCGACTCTTAATGCCATTTTTCCTGTTGCCTACAATTTTCCATACCCTTACTTGACACCTGTTTAAATTGCTAATTTTGTCTGACTGTCTAAAACCTCAAATATTTATGTTACCATTATTATATTTTACTATTATCTCCTTTAACTACCTGAATACTGGCACAGATGTATACACAACCCAACTGCATATGCTAACATATGGTACTGGGAAATGCCATTTTGCACTTAAAAAAATAGGCTAAACATTTAAATAAGAATAACATACCTTTGCTTGTTTAAAAGTGCTTTAAACAATTGAACCAGCAAGAACAAAAATGCAATGAATACTATTAAATACATTTAATACAATGCAGTTTTGTTCTAATCTCTATTCAATCAAGTGCTAGAAGAAACATACACGACGTTTGTTGAATTTTTTTTTTTTTAATCAAATATTAATAGATTTTTTTTGTCTCCTCTTTCAGAGCTGTTGCGCAGCCGTTGGAACCTGTGTGGTGGAAATCTAGCCTTCAAGCAAGGAGCTTGTGGCCATAGCGGCACAGCGTTTTTCATGTCAAAGACAGAGCGCGCTTGCAGTCGTTTATGTCATCCCCTCTTTTCCAGACAGAAGATCCCAAAAAATCCCCAACCAAGATCCTTTTATCGTACTGATAGTGCTAACATCCAGCCAAAATGTCTGTCAACGTCAACCGCAGCGTGTTGGACCAGTTCTATCGCTACAAGATGCCCCGTCTGATTGCCAAGGTAACGGCTCACTGGCTGGATTGAAAAATGTACATGTATAAATGTGACTACAGTAGTTGAGATAATGTCAGATTCATCATTTTAATCAAATGTAATTTGCCTGATATTATGTTTATGAAATTGTTGTAGAATGAACACTGTTATTCTCTGACATTTTGGTTGATGATCATCTGTTTTCTGTATTCATCTCATCCAGGTGGAAGGAAAAGGGAATGGAATCAAGACGGTCATTGTCAACATGGTAGATGTTGCAAAGGCATTGAACAGGCCTCCAACATGTAAGTAACACAGGACAGCTGCAGAAACATATACTATTTGTCATGTAAACCCAGCATCTGCCTGGTATTCAACAAGGAAACGTCAATTTATACACAGATCAACCAAATGTATTTTGCAATTTACAGCTGCCTTTTTAAACTGTCGTCTATTTTCAAAGCTTTGTTTAAATGTGTTCCTCTTAGCACTTATTAAATTGATTGAACTTTTCAGCCAAATCTGTAAAAATAGATTTGGTCTAATAGATGTTACGAACAAATGTATATTTTCAAAACAAGGTTCCAAAACAAATAATGATACAACATTATTACAGTACAGTTGGCTGAATCTTTTTAATATCAGTGGTTTCATGGGATCCGTGTGAAGCACGTGGAAATAAAAATACTCATCCTGGAAAATGTGTTAAATCTTTGACTCACGTTTTAGAACGAGCTGAGCCGGTGGACTGTATGTTATAGTAATTCAATTTTTGTTTTGTGACCTTTTGATGTCTGATCTCTTCTGCAGACCCAACCAAGTTTTTTGGTTGTGAACTCGGTGCTCAGACCCAGTTTGATAGCAAAAACGACCGTTATAT